TGTGAATGGGTATGGGGAGATTCCCCACTGTCTGTAATGTAGTGTGTTTATCTCATGGAAACATTCCATTCTACTGGGCATTTTTACCTGTGGATTATTATGAAGATGATTTCCTCCCAAGATGTACTGTCTAATTGATAATAATAATGTTAGTTGAAATACAGTTCTGATGATTAAAGATAAATCAAAGAAGTGTCATACAGCTAGAACACATGAGTTTCTATTGAGGAGCCATATAGACAGTGGCTTAGGTTAATGATTAAGAAAAGCAATTGAGTCCCAGGAGCCAGGCTGCCTTGAATTCTTTTAATCTTAATGTTGGAAGATGAATTTACAGCTTTGGTAGTACATCATAGCTGAAATAAAGCTTTGAAAATAACTGAAAGTTAGGCTAAGATGTTTTTGTTAAATAGCCTTGAGGTGAGAAACCTAAGAAGACAATTTAAAGTTTTAGAAAGACATATGGTTGAAGGAGGAACTCGTTAAGGTCAGGGAACAAGAACAAAGAAGCCCAATTACTATTAGGTAACATATCTTTCTTTCTAGGATTAGTTGATGACAAAAGGTAATGGTTAATTCTTTATACCTATTTCTGCTCTCAATCTCTTGGTATAAAAAGCTATTGATGAGTGGGTATGCATCCTAAAGTTTTAAAACAGAGCTGATTGCTTTTTATATAAAAGTTGAGAGTTGTGATTCTTTTAAGATTCCTTATACGATTACCTTTCAATATGAGCAATAAAGTGATTGGTTCTTCCTTTGTAACTGCAAAGTGCAGCCTTTCAGTGAAAGAACTGACTGAGAAGAAAACCTTGCTTGCTTACACTGTTAATCTATAATAAGTTGCTTGGGGATGAATGTATGTGGGTTCTTGGGATAATTTGTTTTACACCTGTAATATGTAAAATGTTTACGCATGTTAAGGGATATGGATAACACACTGTTTTTTACTTGTATTTATTGTAAGCATCCACTTGAAAAATGGAATGTAATCACATTGTGATTTTTATATTGCCTGAAAGATTTTGCTGGGGTATATAAGCCATAACAGAAAGAATAAAGATAGATTTGGAAGGAAAACATCAAGAATGAGAGAAGGAAATTACCAGGAAAACAAAGAATAGAGAATAGAGAAGAAAAAAGAAGGAAACCGTCAAGAAAGTGTGTGTGTCTTGCCCTTTTACCTTTCAGATAAAAATGTCTTAGTATGCTGACTTAGTGCACCAGGCAGCAAAACAAAACTGTCTCTTTCTCCCCGAGTAGCTAATAGCTCCTCAAGTATGGGTGGGACTTCATGAGTCTCTTCTTCATCCATGCTGTGTATTTTGGCTGGCTTGATCATGTGCTAAAAGTCGCAACAACTGTGAGTTTTGTGTGCAATGGCCTTGTCATGTCCAGCAAGTACTGTTCTTACGAAGTTCATCAAAGAGTGCAAGTACCCCCTCTTCCTAGATGGTTTCTGAGTCGTGTCGTGTATGTGTACACGTGTGTGTGCTAGCGTGCATGTATTTGTGTGTGTGTGTGTGTGTGTGTGTGTGTGTGTGTGTGATATAGATGTCTTATGTGGAGCTGAGACATCTACAGGCTGTTTTTCTTTGTATGTTGATCAGTTCTGGGTCTAACCATCTACTGCAAAATTTCTCTGATAAGGGTTGATAGATATACTAATCTATGAGTATAAGACAAAAAATAATGGGGCAGTTTATTATTACATCTATTTAGTAAAATAATAATATTAGGTTCTCTCCAAGGGACAAAGATCTAGTAAGTCACAGGGTTTTTTTTTTGACCAGTAATGATACCAGGCATCAGTTCCATCTTGTAGACTGGGTATTAAATCCAAGCAGAAAGTGGTTGGTCACTTCCATAGCATTTGTGGCACTTACAACAGTGGGATTATCTTGCCAGGCCAGTCATTATTGTAGCTTGTAGAGTTAACAGATGGTAAAGACTGATGATTCATTTTGTCCCCTGGAGGCTTGCATAGTATCATTCAGCACTATAAAAGCTAGCCAGTAGTGTTGAAGTTTCACAGTTAGTACAAAGCATTTTGATTTCTGCATGTTCTATGACTCAAGTATGTGATGCCTTCAGCAATAGGGTCTTAAAATCTAGTTCTGGAGGGTAACCAGGAGCAATGGTAATAGCAAATAATGTTTGGAGGTTGTCTAAAAGACTCTACTGACCAACAAATTTAAAGTGTTAAACATACCTGGGACTGAGGTTCTTATTTCATGGCATCCGATACCTGGGAGAGGCACTGTCCCTCTTATTATAGGTAATTCAATTTAAAGACATATACACGTACGCACACACACACATGCATGCACACATTTGTATGTTAGGAAGCTTCTACAGTAGCAGGTTTCTATGACTTTTACAAATGTCTTTAGTGTTAGTTATTCCCACCCAGTACTCCCTCTTCTACCCTACTATCCAATCCCTATGCCACTTAACCTTAAACTCAGTGGGTCACAATGAGGACATGAGAGTAGGAGGAGGACTTGTTGGCAAGGAGAAGAAATTTGGCTGAAGTAGGGGCAGATAAGGGAGGGTAACAAGTGGGGGTAAATATGATCAAAATTCATTTATCAAATGATCAAAGAATAAAATATTTAAAATAATCATTGTAAGCTTATGTACCCTACCTCTGAAGGCATAAAGGAAACAGAGCACTAAATTGTGTCTGTAAAACTTTTGCAGTTTACTTGTATAATATTTTAAGAGAAGGAATATGAAAAGAACAGCAGAAATGGAGGAAGAGGGTTTATATTTGTAAATGCTATCCAATTGCCAAAAGACAAGTTTGCTTAGAAATATCAAGTACTCTGGAGGCATACCATCTACATGATGAGTTCCCTGAATAGTCAAACCCAGTAACCCTTTGAACATTCAGTGATGTGTGTGTGTGTGTGTGTGTGTGTGTGTGTGTGTGCATGTGTGTGTATAAGAACTGCATGGATCTCAAATGTCTGAAAGCTGTTTGCAATTATTCCTCTTGTAAACACCAAACTGATCACGGCTTTATTCCAAGAGTTTCCATGACTCTTAATTTAATTTCTTGAGAGATGATATAGATGGAGACAACTCTTCCAGGATGATAAAACATATTTGAATTCCATTTCCATCTCATTATCATACTTGTGCTATCAAGTGATTTTGACAGTGGAGATGTCCTGTAGGAGACTGCAAATTCTCCTTTATTCATGGTAGACTACAAGATGAAGGTTTAGGGTTTCAGCTAAGCCCTTTAATGTGCTGATATAGTTAAATGACTGACCCAATGATCTAAGCCTCTAGCCCAAGACTCATCAAAGTATTTTCTACAGATACATACAATGGTGTTCCTGGGTACCTTTTTTTCATGGGTTTTTAAGATTAAAAACTATTTTTATAGCAATACTATTTTTTTTTTTTGGTTTTTCGAGACAGGGTTTCTCTGTGGTTTTGGAGCCTGTCCTGGAACTAGCTCTTGTAGACCAGCCTGGTCTCGAACTCCCAGAGATCCGCCTGCCTCTGCCTCCCGAGTGCTGGGATTAAAGGCGTGCGCCACCACCGCCCGGTTATTTGTTTTTTTCATTCCCATTTGTCTCACTAGTACAGAGACTTCAGGTGGCATGACACGTTATAATGGCATGCATCTGATAACGAATGGACTGGTACTTTTGTCTTTTTAACTTTTAAACATTTCTTGCTCTCAGTATCTAATATAATTAGTATTAGATTTTGGGGTCCGTGGTAACTTTTAAGGGTGTTAAGGTGCTTTTTTATAGCAAAAGATACAGGAGTATAACGATTAAAAGAAAACCTATAGAATGAGATAAATGATTTATTAACTATACATCTGAAATGGTGAGGTTGTTTAAATATATAGAAAACTTCAAAAATTCAATAGCTAAAATACAAACAACTAATTAAAAGTTGGCAAAAATTCTGGATTCACAGTTCTCAAAAGAACATATAAAATGGTCAAGAGGTATCTGAAAAGTTGCTAAATATCACTAGTATTCAGGAAGAAGCCAACTCAATCCACAATGAGGTATCATTTTGATCTAGCTAGAATTGCAATTATCAACACCAAAAAGCACAAAAGTTAGTGTCTATGTATACTGAAAAGAATGCTTATTATACTGTTTATATGAATCTAAATTAGTATATTCATTATGGGAAACAATACAAAGCTTTTAAAAACAAAACTACTGTTTTATTTATATGCCCTCTCTGATTATATTACACACCAATGGAAAATTAAATCTGTTTATCACAGCAAATCTGCATGACCAGGGTTTTCAATATATTATTAACAGTAGCTAAAATAAGGAATCAACCTTGCTTTCCATTAACAGGTAACAAAAATGTGTCACAGTAGAATACTATTCAGTCATTAAATAGAAAAGCAATATTCCATCATCTGCTGAAATTGGAAGAAACTAGAAAATATCATAGGATATATTCAAAATATAAGTAAGCACATATTATTAGTCAAATGTATTATAAAAGATGAAAACGTTTCACAAATGTTGCTTTATCAAAATTTTGTCATTTCTAGAATATATGGCATTCTGATTTAGCAGAAGACAAATTACATAATATTAGTTTCCTTTTAATATGGAGATTACATTTCTTAACTACAGTGATTAATTACATCAAAAAGTTTGGAAAAGAGGAGGATCATATAACTTGGGAAGACAGTTACCCTAGTAGATGGATGACATTAGGTAATTTTGAAGCCCCTCTTTAACAGGTTTTTCCTGGTAAAGTAAGGATAATCTTCTGTTTCATAGAATAGGAAGGAGAAAAAGTGAAACAAATGTTGACATAATATTGTTGTGTTGATACAAAATTCTGGTAGCAGGATGCCAAGTGTACTCATAATCCCAGGGCTTTCAATTTTAAGCATGAAGCCCCAAGAGACGAGCAGTATTTAGCACATCATCTCTTGTTAAATAGCAGCCACAGAGTTGGCGGTAACCAGTGAATGATTCCCTGCCATGAAGGATTCACCAATTGTCTATAAACAGTACCTGTGAATGTATAAAAAAAGAGAGAGAAAACAATCAAAACTAGGGAAACTCATAAGGAACTTAAACCAGAAGAGCTCACTGAAAGATAAAGCTTTAGATTGTTCTATTAGTTACATTTGATGAAATATTTTTCTTTTGAAGTTAAGCAAATTAAAAAGAAAATAAGATGTTTCTAACCCCATAGCAGGCTAAATAGCAATTAAAAAGAAAATAGTTTATAAGCTCTGTGCACCTGAGAGCTTATACTCTTTGTGTAACTATCATTTCTTCAAAGTTAATCATGAAATTGTGTTTTTCTATAATCCTCAGTTTATTATTTCTCAATTATGTTTTGTGTAAAGCTGAAGCTATTCTTTAGAGGAAATATCAATGCTTAAAATGGAATTATTAAGCTGAAAGGATCTTAGTTAAATCCCTTCATAATTACAATAAGTGTCTGATGTTTAGAGATGACATGGTGCCTGTTTACAGATCATCAGGGAATAAATGGCAGGGCCAAGAACAGTACCTGAGACATAAGAAAAAATATTGTAATATGGTGATGCATATTAAACAAGTATCATTCTTCATTGATTTTATATGGCAAGTTTATTTGATATCTTTATAGAATTTAAGGACTACCTTTCCAGGCTTCAGTTTGACCCAAAGCTCATTCTCAGGCCTTCTCAATTCAGTTGTTAGGGTTCGGTGTGCTGTATACCAACGATGAACAACATCATAAGGAACAGTGTTGATGACAGCCCGGTCATAGTTGTTGTACCTTATATGGAATCATGAGAAATAAAGATCTCAGACACATGATAAAGACATTTACTGTTTACTTAACTGTTTTAGATAATACTGTCTCTGTTCCACACTTGAAACAACAATGAATCAATACATACTTAGGAATACAGCACCAGAGATAGGAATTCTACTATCTACTGGTCATATTTTGTTTTTCTTTGGAAATTCTGGTGGCAGGGAGTCAAAATTAAGTTCCAGTTGATTTTTCCCAACTCAGAATATGTTTTTTTTAATCTGAAATGTGTTTCATGGAGAAAGTACTTCTTTGTCAAAGGGCATAAAATCAAAAGGAGATTTGAACTTTTTATATTAAACTAAGGAGGGCAAAATAAGCTGTGTAAACAAGGATATTTAACAAAACAGAACGAGATAATTCCACAAGTATTTCCTTTTGTGGGAAAAATACTAGCTATAACACAATAGACAGAGATCTTAACAGAGACTGTCATTTATTCAACACTGGCACTTACATGAGCACTTGCCATTGCCAAGGAGTTTATTAAAAAATAAATATGCAATGATGAACATAGGAGACATGATCCCAGCTATTGGGAAGTTTATATTCTATTGAAGATGCAAGTTTATAAATACAACAAATATAAATAAGATAGCTTCAGTTAGCTACAGATGCTGTGTGAAAACACAGTGACATGTATTTAAGGGTAACTGGAAAATTTGTTTTTGGGTACTGAAGGAATTTTAGGAGAAATGACACTTGAGCTGGTGCCTGTATGAATAGAAATCCAGTATATGACAAGCTGAAGGAAGTGCAGACTAGGCAGAGAGAAAAGCAAATACAAAGTTTTGGGTTACAATGGCACACTATTATGTTTACAAACCACCAGGCAGGCCATGTGATGGTATGGGAGGTCCTTCTGTGTATGTGTTGCTTTTATTGGTTAATGAATAAAGAAACTGCCTTGGCCTGCTGATTGGGCAGAACTTAGGTAGGTGGGGAAGATGGAACTGAATGCTGGGAGAAGGAAGGCAGAGAGAAAGAAACCATGGAGCCACTGGAGAGAGACGTGATGAAACTTTGCTGGTAGGTCACAACCTCGTGGTGATGCACAGATTAATGGAGATGGGTTAAACTAAGATGTAAGAGTTAGCTGATAAGAAGCTAGAGCTAATGGGCCAAACAGTGATTTAACGAATACAGTTTCTGTGTTATTATTTTGGGTCTAAGCTAGCCAGGTGGCCAGGAACAAACAAGCAGCCCCTCATATATTAAATAAGTAAGGAGAATTATGATTGAAGAAATCAAATAGAGGAAGTAGCTAGGGGCAAGATCATATATATAGTCATGTAGGGTATGGTAAATTCTTGGAATTTATCTGCTTAGTTGATGTAGGAGGGTCTTCTATCTATCTGTTGCTTTCATTGGTTAATTAATAAAGAAAAATGCTTGGCCTGATAGGTCAGAACATAGATAGGCATGGAAGACAGAACAGAATTGTGGGAAGAAGAAAGCAGAGACAGATGCCATGCTTCTCCTACCCAAGATGGATGGTGGTTAGACTCATGCCGGTAAGCCACAGTCAAGTGGCGATACACATTAATAGAAATGGGTTAATCAAGATGTGAGAGTTAGCCAGTAAGAGGCTAGAGCTAATGGGCCAGGCAGTGTTTAAATGAATACAGTTTCCGTGTAATTATTTTGGCTAAAGCTAGCCGGTGGCTGGGAGCTGGGTGGCAGGAAGTGGCCCGCTGTTCCTTCTACACTTATGAAGACCACTAAAAATCCTTAACTAAGACAATGTTTTTCTGTCCAACTGTGGTGCACATACCTCTAATCATAGCATTAAAGAGGCAGAAGCAGGTGGATCTCTTTCAGTTTGAGGTCAGCCAAGGCTACATAGTTGTGCCCTGTCTAAAAGAAAAAGAATAAGGGAGATTAATTTTTACTGAAGTATGCTACATATAGAAAAACACAGAAAATAAATTTTGATGAATTTTCATGATGGGGTGACATTCATATCACTACTAATGAGATACCAATTATTACCATAACACTGTAGCATTTTCTTGAGCCTCTTTCCAGTCACATTCTTTCTCCTAGCCAAGGGTAATTACCTTCCTGATTTCTAGCACTAAACATTGTTTATAAAAATTTTATAAAAATTAAATCATATGGTATCTCCTCTTTTGTATCTGTCATCTTTCATTTGATATTATATTCATGAAATTTATCATTTAGAAGTATTCTTTATTGGTGAATTATGGAATTTAATTGCATGATCATACCATAATATATTCATTCTGTTAATGAACATTTGAGTAGTTTCTACTTTGGAACTCATAAATAGTGCTTCCAAGAACATTCTATTATGGATCTTGGTAAATGTATGTATTCACTTTGCTTGGTAGAAAGTTAAGGATGGAATTTCTGGGTTGTAAGGTATGTGCTGTGGAATATTAGTTTAATAATTCAAAGATGTGTAGCATTCTTTAAAGTTGCATTTGTTTAACTCTGTAAAGCTGTGTTACTCTTCCTGCCTAAAACATCTGATTTGTTTAATAAAAAGCTAATCATCCAATAGCTAGACAGGAGAAATAAACAAGAGAAGAAAAGGGAGGAGGGAGAAAAGGAGAAGGAGAGGAAGTTGCTAGGGGCCAACCACCCAGCCACACAGTCAGCCATGGAGTAAGAAGTAAAGTAAAGAAAGACATACAGAATAAGGTAAAAAGTCTAGAAGCAAAACATAGAAGAAGAAAAATGGATTAAATTAAGTTAGAAAAGCTTAATTGAAACAAATCAAATTAAAGCCAGACATTCATAAGTAAGATAAGTCTCCATGCATTTATTTGGGAGCTGAGTGGCAGGTCCCTAAAAGAGTAACAAACAACCAACTACATTTTGGCGTTCCAATGTGAAGCTTGATTTTCCATAGGGCCTGAGAAAGCTTTTTTTTTTATTTAAAAAATTTCCGCCTCCTCCCAGCCTCCCATTTCCCTCCCCTCCCCCATCTCTTCTCCCCCTCCCTCTCCATTCCGAAGAGCAGTCAGGGTTCCCTGCCCTGTGGGAAGTCCAAGGTCCTCCCCCCTCCATCCAGGTCTAGGAAGGTGAGCATCCAAACAGGCTAGGCTCCCACAAAGCCAGTACATGCAGTAGGATCAAAACCCAGTGCCATTGTCCTTGGCTTCTCAGCAGCCTTCATTGTCCGCCATGTTCAGAGAGTCCGGTTTTATCCCATGCTTTTTCAGTCACAGTCCAGCAGGCCTTGGTGAGCTCCCAATAGATCAGCCCCACTGTCTCAGTGGGTGAGTGCACCCCTCACGGTCCTGACTTCCTTGCTCATGTTCTCCCTTCTTCTGCTCCTTATTGGGACCTTGGGAGCTCATTCCGGTGCTCCAATGTTGGTCTCTGTCTCTATCTCCATTCATCACCAGATGAAGGCTGAGAAAGCTTTTTTTTAAAAGGACATGGCTCCTTTAAGAGTTTCTGATGTACAGTGAACCCTTGAGCAGCCAGTACATTAAGTAGGAACAAAAATCTAAGTAAAAAAATGCCTGACACATTCAGAACACTGGCATTACAGAGCTGGGGGACTGAATGTAGTACTGGGTTACAGATCTCCAACCGGGTTTATGAGCTTTAGGCTTGGCTTTTATGAAACTAAGAAGAGGGTGGAGCCAGTGCCAAAGCCTTAGTGGAGTTCCTAGCTGCTCCTTTGTTCATGAGGTCAGAAAATAATAGAGATAAGCAGAAACGACAGAGTCAGTATGGAAGAAAACTCTTAACAGGTTCCAGTATGTTTAAAAATGTGCATAGGCTTAAGAAAGAAATGAGGAATAGTATAGACAGTTATAGGAAGAAATAGTTTAAAAATAATAAAGTCTTTAAAGAAAGAGTAAAAGTATTATAAAAAAGCCACATAACAATGGAAAATACACAGGGAGTCTGAATGTTATATAGTGTTGTGTTGATTTTGAATTTTTTGATTGCTGATGAGCAAACAACAACTGCTATAAGAGACATGGGATTGAAAGAGGAACAGCTGAAATAAAGCAGCTGGATATTTTAAGAATGTCTTAACTTTAAAATGGAACTCAAAAAATGCAGTTTGGAGAAGAGGTTTTGCTTTTATTTCTACAGTAAATGAGAGGCTGTGGATTTCTTCAGGGTTGATATAAATCAGGTTTCATGGTGGGAGACCTCCTGAATCTTGACAGGTGATACCTATCAACAAAGGTTACAGCTGGTCTTCCCAGGACTTGGTCATTACCTCAATTTTCATAGGGACCCTAAAGATGCCTTCACCTAGAGAATTGGAAGCAGTCTGGAGAACCTGATGCCCACATTACCAAGAGATAGGGTAGTTAGTTGGTTATTTGATGAGTTATTGATGTTTGTTATCATTTAGGGGAATATAGAAATATAGAAGAAAAAGATAAATTTTAATCTCAACAATAATTTTTTATTGGTATGGATTTTGGTATGTTGATACAAATTTAAAGTTATTTTTGTTATACTGTATATATGTTTCTACTCTTGTTTGGGGTATTGTGCTTATGCAGCTCATTTAAAAATGAAAATGTATAATTAAGAAATGAGGTTGGTAGTTAATCTATAATAATCAAACTTGTAGTCATATTAGGTATGTTTTCAAGGTCAAATAGGTATATTTTAGACAGGTAGATGAAATACTTCAAAGACATATAGAACATAGCATTTAAAGATGTTTAACAGCCTAAGACTTTTCATGATAATAAGACACATCTTCTCTGGGCACCGCTAATTTACTTCATAAAAGGATGATGGGCACAAAAGAAAAACCCACTCCATATACAGTTTGCTTTCAATGTGGCAAGGCTAGTCATTTGGGCAAGAAACGGCTTTTGCCTTGACTATTGATAGTATGCTGTACAGATTCAACAAACAAGACACAGGAAAAAAGTGTTGAACTTGGCCAAGACAAGGTAAGGGAGTTCTTCAAGATTTGTGCTTCACAGAAGAGCCTGATAGATAATCTG